ATACATTTGGATTTCAGTCACTTATGAATCACCATCACTCTGCATCACTGCTGACAGGTGTATAAAGTTCAAAATCACAATTCAGAAACTCAAATAAAATGTTGGAGAGTAAATATATTACATTATATAGTAAAATGAGGGACTTCAGATGATGCTACCATACAGTATTTATCCAAGCTTTAGACTTTCATACTGTGCAGAAAGACAGATGTGAGGTAAAATAAATGATTGGGAAGTCCAGCCGCTTGGAACTTGACAATTACAGTATGTAAGTACTAAAAGCATTATGTAAAATGTAAAACTACATGCCATGATGTCACCAAAAGTATTCTATTAAAAAGTATAAATTTAGCTGTGCAATTTATGTGTGATGGTAAGCCATGGAGAAGTAGCCTAGTCTTACTTTTGTAGTTGTCAGCAGTGGTTGCTCCATACAGTAAGTCTCCACTGGGAATCAAACCTCTTCCAAAAGGACACATGTGGTGAAACTGGTCTGAAAGGGGACAAAACTGGCAGTTTAGAGCCTGTTTAGGCCAAAGGAAAAGTTCAGTTGCTGCTCAGCTAATTTAGGTCACTGCCAATGTAGTGTAACGGAAGGCACTTTTGGCCCAATAATCATGGGAAAAAAAGAATAGTACACAGTCAGTCAAACCTTTTTGCTGAGTTCAAATGTAAATGGTGAAACAAGAGTTATGTGCAGGTCTCTGACAGTCCGTCAAGAACAACTTAAACTGGTGTGATATGCTCAGATTTCCGCAATCCACTGTTGAGTCAGCAGGTGTGCAGATTTATACCAGCTGAAGCCAATAGAGGGAATTCTGACTGCAGGACATAGTGACTTGCAATAGTCTCATCTGTTTGAGCATAGTTTAATCAGTACCACTATGCACAGTGACAGTGAGATGTGTGACGGTCACTTACAGTCACAGTTAGTTCAAGGACTTTCAGAATTTTCTTGAAACATTTTTCTTAACTTGTTCAACTTTTTGAAAAATACACATTTTAGTTTTCTAGTGAATGATTCGAGTAAGGAGTGACACCGCCAGCATAAAGACTGTAATTGCTGAAACAGGCAACAGCTGCAGATAAACTGAAAACCAACCAAACCAAGCTCATCAGTAAACATGTGATGAAAAGGGCCTTGGTTTATTGTAAATAATTCCAACTGTGGTGGTGCTACAATCTGCACACTTAAATTAACTACACACAGGAGTTTTTGTTCTCTAGCTTCATAATAAAACTACATTTTATTAAGATACGGTAATACAGTGATTTGCTAGGATTTTAAAATTGTGTCTACCAAAGATAACCGACTGTGTCTGTGTTATGGTTCCATCTCCTTTTCTCCCTCACCTGTGCCATTGACAGGACAGGGATACACCTCACAGTTGTCACCCCAGCCAGCTCCCAATGTGCAGCAGCACTCCTGCAGGGTGACATGGCTGGTCAGGACACTCTCACACAGGTTCTCATCGTTCAGACGATAGTAGCACTCCTTACGCTCCACTGATGACACTGAAACATGAGGAAAGGGAGAGAAGATCCACACAATGCAGGTGGCAAGGATCAGCTTGGTGATTGTCATTCATATGAAATCATCATTTCTGGGTTTTATTGCTACAGCAATCAAGTTTTATCCAAAGATCTAAAGCCCCACTGAATTCCAGCAGCCCTCTAGGCAGTATTATACAATACGTTCTGTATGTATCAGTAAAAAGCTGTTGCATTTCTAGCCACAGGTTTTCCCAACAGTTTCAAAGCAAGATAAGGTAACAGGTGCTTTGTAGTGAGCTTTAAATGAATTGGGGTCTGTGCATCTCCAAAATGTTGATAATTTTTTTCTAAAATTAGATCTGTTTAGATCACATGTCTTCAAAAAGGCTGAATCTTAGTTCTAGCCCTAGTTGCTGTCCAGTCAGGTCCAAGGCAGAGGCAATGTTTTACCAGGGTTTCTTTGTTGGTTGGTTTGTTTACAGCATAACTCAAAGAATGAATGGAATGAATGGATTTGGATGAAATGTTTTGGAGAGGTAGTGTATGGCCCACAGAACAATCTGTAAGATTTTGCTGCTCATCCAGATCATCATCTGGATGCAGGAATTTTTTAAATAATTTGTTATCATTGTGAGACAGGGCCAATTTGTAGTTTTCAGTCATGTGACTGGAACAGAACCCTGGAGAGCCAAAAACCCTTTAAACGTCGCGGCTAACACTGGACACACTATAGAACTGCAGCACAGGCCTGTTAATTTTCTGGTTATCTTCTATTCAGTGGCTCCTGGTAGCAGTGACAGGATCTGAGTCGTACCTAACAGCTGTTCTTTTTATCTCTGTGTCCACATTCCACTGCCTCTGTTCTAAATCCACTGCACCAACAGGGTGAGGGAGCAGCGGTGGTCGAGCGAGCTAGTGTGTGAATGAAGAGAGGGAGCAGCACTGATTCAGAGAAATAAAATGTTATTTACTCATAGTTTCACTGTGGTTATGTTCTAAAGCACAAATAAACATGACCACACTTCTGCACAGCCCTGCAGGAAGGACTGTATGTGAACGCAGTCAAAGCACACCCTGTCCTGCTGTGGCCTCTCCCTGCAGCTTGTGTGTGCAGCTAAGCCTCGCACTCAGTCAAACAGACAGACACACAGCTCATATTATAAGGGTCAAATCGTCATGGGAATATTGCTTTTAGGTGGAGGTTTGTGCTCTCTGAGTGCTGTCTAGTTTTTATTGTAATGGGGATCCATCTCAGTTTTGCGTAATATAGTCATCACTGGTTTCTCATCTTTCTTACTACATTCCAGGTAAATGCTGCAGATGACCTGTCTGATATTGAATTTTAAACTTCAGCATGCCACCAAAAATTGATTCTTTTTCACATAAAATACAAAGACCATACAATAATCTTGACTGGACTATGGAGTCACTTTATCCTTTCTTGAATGTAGTTTAATTTAATGTATTTGGTTAAAGGGGATCCATATCAGGAACTTTGCTGTACTTCTTTAGCAATAACATGAAAATTGTTTGCATTTGTCCCGATGTACTGAACGAAGTTTGTGCACCTCAATTTACAGATTCATATGAAGTGTAATAAACCCAGATGTACACCCTGATGTCCCCCAGGTCTGACTCACTTGTGGGAACAGGATCACACTTGGCGATCATGACATTATACTCCTGGCCGCTGGGACACATGCAGAGGAAGGAACCATCCACATTCACACACTGAGCTTCTCCACACACACTGCTCAGCAGCTCACACTCATTCACATCTGTGGAGAAGGAACAGAAGAACATGTTGAGACATAATACAGACATGATACCTGGGAATATGCAGGTTACATGTAGCTGTGGGCAGTTGGTTTTTTGGTGCTCGGAGTTGATGTGCGTGATATTCCCAGAAAGATGTTGTTGAAACATAACAGGACCTAGGTGGGTACAGCCACAATGTTCACACAATATCCAACATCATGCGAGGTGGACACACTGTTATTCCTCTGCATGAAGGGGGAGCAATCCTTTGTTTTCCATGTCAACCCAATTTCCAGCCATTCAGTGTTAGCTCATGCTGCTAAACCATATCTTCTCTGACCCGTTCAAAATAAAAAGAACATAGCATTGCTAGCTAATACAACATTTATCCTGCTCAAAATAAACACCACGAGAGAGAGCAGTGTCAAGTGAGCTGTATAGTGAATGAAAAGAGGGAGCTGCATTAGCAGGGACAAAGCAGTGAAACAGAGAAATTGTTGTGTAGTAGCACTGACGTCATTGACAGTGCCCTTTCAAGCAATTTGACTACTTCAGTTCAGACATTTAGTCGGCTATTTGTCTCGATCCAACCTGGTAAAATTGCCGGTAACACTTTGCCAGCTTTGCGACTCTGGGTTTTGTTCAGACATGACACCTACATGTGAAATAAAAGGCAAATTGCTGGCTTGGGGTGCATATATGAAAGGGCTTTATGTAATTTAATGCTAATGAATCCAAATCAACTGAGCCATGTGTTGTCTTACATACATTACTTAATTTGTTAAATTGCACTCATTAACGCCTGGTAGTGTGTCATTATGTTACTGTTGTCTTTAATTTGGGGCTCCCTGGATAATTTCATTTCTCTTCTGCTAAACCCGAGCAGAAGCGCTGCTACTGTATCTTTCTTACAAGGAGAGTAGTATACCCCATTCCATTGCTGGAAGGTGCCGGGCTCATACACTAGAACAGCCAATGACCGTTGTATCGTCTGCAAACTTCAGGGTTTTTATATAGGGGGCTCTTTAGGTGCAGTCAT